TTGAGGTGGCAAGAGCTTAGCGATTATTTTGTTTTTGTTTCCATTGTTCATGAGTTCATAATAAAGATGTGTCTTGATTAACTGAGTAGGTGCCATCTGAGAACAAGCAGACCGTGGAAAGGAGGGCATTTCCAAAAGGATGAAAGATGTACGAGTCTTGCCAGTCCTGTAAGAAACATGGGGGAGGAGAAGCCTGGAGGTTGAACTTGGGGAAAGAAGTTTAAGAATAAAGGAGTGTACCAAGACACACGGTCTTCTATGCCTTTCCAGGAGTTGTTTATTCTCCAGGTAATGAAGGAACCAACAAAGGATTTATGCACGGTGGCACACGTGTGTGAGCCAGTGCAGCAGTGGCAAGATGGACTGAGACGCAGTCATGTCTGTGGAGACATCAGGAATATGGAACTGACAAAATGTGAGCATTTATAAAATGGAAAGAAGAAGTGAAATGTAAATTTCCTCTTGTGTTTCTGATTTAGATGACCGTGTAGATGATAATATCACTATCCAAGAAATACAAAAGGAAGGAAAATAATTCAGAAGACAGTGATGACCTTATGGAAAATACAGTGACTTGAGTTTTAAAATGTACTGAATTTGTGCAACACTGTTCAAATGGAAGTCCCTACAGGCAATGTTGGGGTCACACTTTGGAGAAGAGTTTGGGAACTGTCTGCATGTTATGGTATACAGTATCACAGAAATTTCAAGGACAGAAGTAGAAAAATAAGCGAGAAAAAATAAGACAAGATTCTCCCAGAAACTAGCATGAGGAATGAACAGAAGAAGAAAAACCCATGGGAGAAAGCAGAGGAAATACTTAGAGAGAGAGAACTGAAAAGGGAGAAATAGTGCCAGAAAAGCTTAGATGAGAATTTCTAAAGAATAAAGAGTATTTTTAAAGAACAAAGCAGTGGACATTAAAGAATAACTATCAAATGCAGCTAAGAGGAGACTAAGGTCTGAAAATTAGAAATTGGTGTTACTTGTTAAAGTAGTTTTGGTGGAGTAATACAGAAGGAAAAAGTCAGATTGTGGTGGGTTAAATACCGATGGATTTTTTTTTAATGATCACAGAGATTTTTTCTGGGAGATGAGATCAGTAGAATTGTGGGTGATTTTTCCTTTCTAGCTTTCTGTTTTGTTTTTGCATTTGTTCTTTTTTGTTTCTTTGTGTGTGTGTGTGTATGTGTGAATAGCATCATTTCCCCTGGAAAATGAGGTGGGTGTTTTTGTTTTATTTTTCCTTAATTTTAAAGATAATAAAATCCAACCAAACAAAACAGAGCAAAGCCAATTGAAACAAAGCAGCAAAACTGGTACAGAACTTCAAAGCAGGATTCGAGGAAAACCAACAATAGCTACCATAGTATATGTTGTTATCTTCCTAATGGTTATCCATTCCATCAGGTATAGCAAAATCAAACCAAAAATAAAACATAAATAAAACCAATCAAAACAGAATATTGAATAAAGCAAAACAACTAATCAGAACAATGCAAAACATGAGAACAATACTGAACTTCAAAGACAAGATAGAAAGAAATCCCCATATTTGCTATATTGCATACTGTCATCCTCCCAAGAGATGCTCAGACCACTGACCCAAGGCCTGAATAATCAACCAAACAATACAAGCATTGCTTTATGTACCTTTGTTGCTATCAACTCAGCCTGTCCTGCAAACTCACTGGTTGCTTGGGAAGGAGAGGGGCATTGATACTCAGCCCTTGTGCCAGTAGGCTCTCAGGAGGTGCTATCTGATTTCTTTCTTCCTGGAACGTACGCAGCAGCTTGTGTGGCTTGCCAGGAAGGCTAGCTAGTTGACTTTTTGCTGGGTCCTCCCAGTCCCAGGACGGCCAATTCTTGGGAGGTGCTGACTTTTCTCTTCCTGGAATTTGTGCACCAATGGAATCTAAGGAAACAAAAGTAGTCATATAATATTCGTTCTAGCAGTCTGACTATAATGGAAAAATTTTAATAACCTGTATCCCAAAATAGCTCCTAGATTGTCTCATTTAATTGATTGATTGATTGATTGATTGATTCATTCATTCATTCATTCATTCATTCATTCATAATCTAAAGCATATTTATGGCTACTGGGAATGAACAAATGCAGAGGAATCATTTAAAAATAGGCCAAGAGCTTGATTAAGAGGACAGTGTCCAAGAGAAGCAGCACAAATCATCTGAGCCTGTGGGAAGTTAGGTAGAGTTGGGCAGTTGTGCAGATGAATGCCTAGATATAGGGGTGGAGCTCATATACTTGGCGGTTCTAATTTATTCTAGTATGGAAGGCAGATTCATTGACTGCATGCACTTGGAGACTAAGCCTGTATCGAGGCCCAAACTCAACTTGGCTAGCTTATTTCAGCAGTGCTTGGCTCTCTGCTCACATTTACTATGCGATTGTCTATAAGCTTTGCTTATGCTACCTTACAAAAATAAAGAAGCAGTGGTTCCTAGAGCATCCTCTGATATATTGACCTCTGGAATTTCAGACAGCAAGCTGGCCTTCTTCCCTCTGCACTCCATTCATCTGGTTTTCCAGTCATCAAGAGGAGATAGAGATAGAAAGATGGATTGTGTGTTGTATGTACATATGTTTCACTCTTTAAAGGTGATGACATTCGTAGGGCCATCAAAGAAATCCTCCAAGGTTGCAAAATGAAAAACTCTTACCTACTGCTTTTATTCATGCAGAAATCTTACTTGGAATGTACCTTCAACCTCTTTAATCCAAATAGTTGTTATGTGCCAAAATCCTAGTGTTCATTTTACCTAGATAATTGTAAGTCCTCAATTTCCTACTCCATTTCTTAACCAAATGTCACTCAACAATGAACTGACTTCAGATGGGAAGCTAACGGCCCTTGCTGGCCAGCAGAGCAACACTTGCTTTACTGTCAGGTTTCAACTTTCAGAAGATCTCTGCTGAATTTTGAAGATTAACTTCAAGTGCAGATTCTAATTGGCCAGCTCATAAATCTTTGTCTTCTCAGAACTGAATGGAGAAGGACGATAGGAATAAAATATGGTGGAGAATATAAAAGTTCTAATTCTATTCAGAGTTACATCAACTGCTAGAAATACCATTTTGAATATTTTTAAACAAGTCAAAACTCTGTTAACAGTCAATTCTCAACTTGACCCTTCCGATATGTTTTGATTAATTCTATTATCACTTCTGATAGGCTTCAATTTTCTAAGTTTATTTCCTCAATACTTCTTAAATACCAAACGCTGCAGTTTCTTTCATAGATACAAGCATCTAATTTCTTGAGCGTCTCCAGGATTTACCCGCATTGCACCTCAGAAGCTGATGGGTGACCTAGGAGGGAGGTGCAGGAGCCCAGTGCTCTGGTAAACAGATTGCAAAGTGGTTGTGCAATGTTTTTGCTTCCATATAAAACTCAGAAAATATCAGTACCCTCTAGCTTGAAGCACATACAAAAATATATATAGAATAATGACAAAAAGCATAAACACAATGATGCAAACACACACACACACACACAAAGTTTGAAAGAAGCAAAACTATCTGGAAATCTGAGAGCTGTCTGTGTTACTGTACTGTCATAGGCAAACAAGAGATGCCAGGTCAAGGAGACTTAACAGAGAAGCAGACTAAATTGTTCGATATAACTCAGAGTCAATCAAGGATTCTGAATTTGTGCAAAGCTGGAATCTTGTGTCATCAGAACTTGTCTCTTTCCACCTCCCTGCACTGCTTTATATGCACATTCTTCACAAGCCAACTTTCTTTCTTGACCAGCCAGTGCCAAACTTACACCGATCCCCACAGTACTCTAGTCGTAAATGGGAATTTCCAACAAAAGTCTTAGTCTCATTGCCTCTGAATGACTCGACTTTGACCAAATCACAGTCTCATTGCTGGAGACTACACGACACTTCACCTCTTTTCACACAAGAGGGTGCGCAAACACCAGATAGGCCAAAACAACAGATGTCCTAGGCTGTTTTCAGATATGTGGGCTCTCAAGAGGTTAAGGAGGTAAATGAAGCCCTGGAAATTAGAACTAGAGTGCCTTGCATGAACCTTACAGGAGAGCAGATTTCAGCTCATCTTCCCACAGAACCATTCCAAGTCGAAACAGGCTGCTTCAGTGTTCCTGGTACCGGCCAGACAGGCAGCTGTCAGGAGGACTGGAAACCAATCCCAGCACCAGGAAGAGCTTTGCCTACGTGACCCACAAGGTCACTTTTGACTCTACAATTCTATTATCCTTGTTAATTTCCACAATTCAATTTGCAGTACAGGATAAACAAACCAACCTAATTTGATCTGGAACTTCTGCAGGCTATCACAGGTCATTTAATCTAAAACACATGGCTCCAGCCATTGCCGTTCTCTGAAGTCATCTAACAGACCTTGTCCTTAACAAGGTCTCCAAGTTACTAGTCTCACTGATGACTTTTTCCAGCCTCCTGCTTACTTTACAATTCCCTTTCATCCTCCTTTAGATTGGGGTAGAGGGAGCGCAATGATTTGTCTTCCTTAGTTTCTCCCTGTAAATCTTATAAACGTAAATCCAGATTAAAATTACATTGCTTACATCTTTACTTCACAATTTGGCTTTGGTTTTTCAGGTTTTAGAGTCCAAGAGCAATGGGACCAGAGACTTTTTACTGTTCTAGATGGTCTCCTAAGGCAAATTTTCAAAGATGCAAGAGTGGGACTTTTAAATTTGATATTAAAAATTAATTTGTAAAAACAATTTGATATGATACAATATTGTTGGAGTGCCAAAATCACTCAAGTGTTACTCATTAGGAAATATATACATGTGCATTAAAATGATATATTTTTAAATACTTTCAATGTGTTTGAATGAAGTATATTCTTTCATAGCTGAAAGCAGCCCCACTATACACATTTGGTGCTTAAACTGAAACTGCCAGGTTACAGAATGAGAGTGGTTTCGGCCAGGGTAAATCCATCTTTAATAATTTATGATGTTTCTTGTCTTTTTCAGTGAATGTTGTATCGATGTTACAGGAATTCTGGGAAAGCAAGCAGCAGCAGAAGACAGCCTTCCCCAGCGAGGGCGTGGTAGTCTATGAGTCTCTGCCCTCTGCAGGGCCGCCCTTCGTGAGTTATGTGACTCTCCCAGGAGGGAGCTGCTTTGGCAACTTTCAGGTAAGAAGCAGCTGTCAGTTCCTCAGTGAAGGAAACTGGGTTAAAACAGAACAAATCCTTAGAGTGCTAAATTGTCTTGGATGCAAGGAACAAAGTTACGTCACATTTTATCATGTATACCAGAAAATGAGGTAAATGTCCCAGTTTTTAAAAATGGAGGTGTGTTGTATGAGGATGTGCCCTGATATTACTGTATGGAAAGTGAATTTTAGAGTACAGTGTTTTATTTTGCAGTTAGCTGTTGGTCTTTTCTTTAAAAAAAATTTTTTTTGACTAAAACTGACCGTACAGGGAAGTGATGGCAAAGCCCTTCTATCAGTAGAATCTCTACTTTTGCAAATTTTGAAGTCAAATGTTAATTACTTTGACCCATCTACCACACATCAAAGCATGAACCAGCAGCGAAGTGCAGGGCATCCCAGGGTTTGATTAATCACGCGTGCTAAACTCACATTCTCTTCCATCCCCTGTCTACCCTGGCGAAACTGACTCACGTTCTCTCACTTAACTTTGCTTCTCTTTGAACTGAGAACTGATGTTCACAGGATTGGCTGGAAGTCATATGAACTAAGTCATATGAAGTCACATGTACTAATGTGTTTAGCATAATATCTGGTACATCATAAGTACTCCAAATACTGTTTTTATAATTACAAAGACTCTTTCAGTTTGTTCAATATTTATGATGGGGTGTAAAGGACAATACATTTCTCATCATATACCAACTTACACAAAGCACTTACTTACATTACCATCAATATCTGCTTACCCAACGTATGAATCAAATTCTCACTGAGTAACAGGAAAATATCAAGCCTGAGGACATGATGCATACCTTGAGGAAATCAGTGTACAAAAGACTTGGTAATAAACAAAATGATATCTAAAGGTTAGTGAAAGCACAAAGTGGAGAACTTCTGGATTGAGCAGCTCCCTTCTAAAGTACCTCATTAATGCAATAAACTATCTCTCTATCTTTAGTACCTTAAAAAGATGTTTTATTTATAGTTTAGGGACATTATGAAACTCATAAACAATCAAGTTATCTCTTAGCTTTGACAACTAAGAACCCCAAGGCAAATTTTAGTGTAGCTCTTTGCAGTGTAAATCGAGAGAACTTAAAATCAATCATTTTTAAGACTGTCATCATAGCTGGTATTGTTTATATTTTTATCTTTACTCTCCCTTTGAATTTAGTGCCTGGCTCATTGGTTTTATCGTTACCTGATGTGCCTGTTTTCCACTGTAACAAATCCTTTGTGCAGTGAAGAAAGTGCATACTTTCATAAACACACCCACTCACCCAGGCTGCCTAGGAGGAATCAAAGGATGCTTAGGGAGTGTAAATGCAAGTAGAGATGTACAGCTGAGGGTATCCTGGCTAGTTGGGAAAGAAAAGAGGCATTCTCTGTGTGAGGAATTCTGTGTGCACAGCAAGGAGCAAGAAATAGCACAGGCATGTTTGTAATTGTGAGAGCAACAGTCTGTGGGGCAAGACCTGTTGGGAAAGGATGGTTACACCTGCTTATCAAACACTAAGGGCCCAGCACACCTCGCACAGGAGTATGGATTTTACAGTACGAAAAATCAGAATGCTTGAATGTGAGTGCTACATTCAGGTGTCTTTCAGCAAGGTTTCTCTGACTTGAAGATGCTTTACAGTTACATAAAGCTAAAGGCAGAGAGGCTAGTAGGAAGTGAGTAATGAGTGCCAGGAAGATGAGCTGCAAAGCCAGACGAATGAGAGGAGGGAAAGGGGAATGAGCATCAATAGGCACAGGAGCTGGGATGACAGCGTAGCTTTGGGTTTAGCCACTGAGCAAAAAACAAGAGGAGGAGGAGCACATACGCGGAAGAGGAGGATGGAGCCAGTGTCAAGTACCTGAAAGTCCCAGGTAGAGATGTGCAACCAGCTGAAGAATATAGCACCTGAAACTAGACCAATGCAAATTGTGCCTGTACCTTTCTGAGCTGAAGTTATGGCTGCAGGTACCACTGCCAGTGTGTGGTATGGGGAAGAAAAAGATCCAAAAAATTACCTTAGGAATGGTTTCCAGGGGAGAAAAAAAAGAAAATTATTTCTCTAAGAAATCTGAGGATCATCCAGAAAGGGACAAAGAAGCGGAAGAAGGAGTTTATGGAAGCCAAGTAATGTGACATCATCACACAGAGGATGCAGAGCACAGGCATGGGCCACAGTGCAGAGGTCCACTGAGGTACACCCAGGAGCTGTGATAAATGCAAGGCCGTTGACAACTTCAGAGGAGTAATTCCAGTGGAAAGTACGGGCTTCAGTGACAAAAGATTGGAGAACACAGTGGCTTAGAATGAGGACACTGTCCTTCAGCAAGGATTGGAAGGGCTTTCTGCTATTCTTGTAAATGTGGCTTAAGAAGCAGGGGCTATCTAGTGTTGAAGAGAAAGCATGTTCTAGTCTGATTGCCATCAGTGGCTTGCAAACACCTAAGTCACAATTAAAGCTGGAAAAGACAACTAAGACTGAGACCACTAGTCATACCATCCTCGAAGAGCCTGCAGAGATCAGGCAAAAGCAACAAGATGAACTTCTCTTGGAAATAAAACAGCAGCAGCAGAGTCTCAAGACTGAATCAAAATAGTGGACTTAGCACATTCCTCTTCCTCTGTGCTAGTCTAAAATGCCTTAAAATGTCAAAGATAAGTAAACTTCAAAAATAAGTAAATTTCTTGGGCAACAAGAAAGGATAACAACACAGGAAGAATTGAACTCTGAGACAGTTCTGAAAGATGAACGTGAAATCAAACATCAGGTTCAAAAGTACCACACTCTAAACACATACAAGAGAAACATGCTTTGAAAGTAAAGAAGAGCTTGACAAACTCCAGGGCCAGAGAAACAAATGCAAAGAGCAGGAGGGTGTTCTGGAGTAATTTTGTTCGGCTCATCTAAGACTTGCTTTTAAGATTGCTGACCCAGGGAGCCGGTGAGGTGCTACGTTCCTCTCAGCAGTGGATTTTGACCTCTCATGAGTGGGAGTTGCCTGATGAGAACTATGGAATGAGGGTCTCATAAGAGAGCTGATGTACCCCAGACACCAGTGCCAAGGGAGAAGGCAAGAAGAGGGCAGAGAGGAAGTCCTGAGAAGGAGGCTTTCTAACTCGCATGTGCCTGCGGCTCCGTTGTTAAGCTTTCCGAGGGGATGTCTGCCAAACAACACACCTCCCCCCTCATCCGAACACCCCCAAACCTTCTCATGTAGGCAAACACACTCACCCAGGGACAAAGGTCTTATTGACCACCTAAACTAATAGGCTTTTTTGTCCATGAAATGTCAATGAACTGAAGATCAGCAAACATTTGAGAAAAGCCAATACCACAAAAGATAAGATCAAGCCAGGCAAACAAATGACCAAAGTAATTCAGATAACCCAGAGCATAAGAGAATATTACAGCGGGAATCCTCAGAAAATCTCAAGAGGATATTGATCCCTAAAATGGAAAAAAAGAATAAGCAAGACATAAGAAGTTAAGATGTGCTTGTCAAATTAGAACAGTAAAAACAATAAATAAAAGAAGAGCAAATAGATCAGTGCATACAGATGACAGAGAAATTGCTAAGGCACAATAAAGTTAAAAATATAAGGCAAATTTTTCAGAATTTAAAGCAAAAAGATAGATTGAAGAATACAGTACTGGCGACAGGGTAAATCAATCATAAAAGTGAATATTAACAAGAGTTCTAGGAAGAGCCAAAGACAATAGAGGAAAAGAAATAATAAACACAGTTTACGTTTTTAAATTAAAGAAGATCACAAGTTTTCAGATGGAAATGGCCCTCTGCATTGCCAGTAGGGTCATGACAAGAGCCATAGCTATGTAAGACTTAGAGAAAGCGTTCTGCATTTACACATTAGTCTGTATTTTAAATCATTGAATACACAAAAAGCTTTAGGGAGACTTCAGGAGAGTTGATGAAATGGGGCAAAACATGACAAACTTGGTTGACAAAATTCAAAAACTATGCCTTTGGAAAGATAAAAAGACAAACCTTTGACTTTTTTAATCGAGGCAAAATCAAGACATTTGTCTCACCAAGTGTGAGAGACAGGGTGCAGTCACAGGAGTATAAGAATACTACACAAATCATTACATTACAAACACATGACGTGGGCTACTTTCTGGATATCAAGAAACTTTGTATTATCTTTGCTAACTCTTCCCTTACTATAAAACTACTCTAGGAGACATAGTGTTTAAAAATGTGTGTTGGGAGAGGCGAATGGCTCCCTGCGAGGTTGTGACTTAAGGTTTAAACCTTTTCTCAAGCATTAGTGACTCTACAGCTGGTCCAACTTGCTTCCAGCTGTATCTCCCCAAATTCTCTCTGCTGTTGCTGGGTGCTTTATCCTAACTATGCATTGCCCATGCCTTGACCTCTTCCAACCACCGTCATAGTCACCCACTTCTGGCAACGGTCGCCCCCTTTTCTTCATGCGCCATCTTTCAGGACTCCACACAATGTCACATTCTCCGTGAGCATTCTTTGAATCTCCCTGCCAGAAATTCTTGCCTCCTCTGATTTCCCAAAGCAGTTATCTATTTCTCCACTAGTGCTTAATGATTTCTACCTTGCCCTAAGGTTACTTATTGCATGCTTTATCTTTGCAATAAAATGTAAGCTCTTCAGGGACAGAGTCTGACATCAAGCACTGTGTTTTTCTATAGTAAGTGCCTAATAAATTTTGTCAAACCAACACACAAATGAGTGAATAACAAATCTCAAAAATAAATGAAGTTAATGCCTGCAATTTTTATACGTAGTCATAGCAAAGGTATTCCACCTAATGCGACAAGGCTGTAGACTAGAAAGAAAATGTATTTTTGGTGAAAATATTGAAAGTAGATGAATTTGATGTAAAATTTTTTTCTCTGGATTTAATCTGAGCATATTAACTTTCCCGCCATCAATTCCTGTAACAATTTTGGCCTTATTCACACACAGACCTACATTTAATTTGTA